ATTCATGAATGCCATAACTTTAAAATTTGGTTCATGGTCCAAGTATTTGACAGACTTCTAAACAAAACATGTGAAGAAAATACAGCAAGCATTTTGCTTATTACATCAGTGTTTTTGTTAAAGGCTGTATTAAGTTGATAAATAATACCAGAGTTCCTGCCTGGGTTTCCCACTGTCATGTATATCTGCTGTTAATGCCACCACTCTTCCCAGATGTTATTTCCTATGTTTCCTAATTTGCATATTCATACCATCAAATGCATCACATCATAGTCACAATACCCCAAGACGGCTTCAACAAATAAGTGAAACAAAATATAAACATAATTATTTTATAGATTTATGGAGACCAGGGGAGACCCGATAGATAAAAGTTCTGATTTAGAAAAACATATCGCCAAAACCATGCATACACATGACTACGATGATGCAAGGGAAAACAAGGAGAACAAAACAAAATACAAGGAAAGCCCAAGGAGACAAAAGGAAGATAAACATCATCATCGTCATGACAACCACAATCATCAATCCCACCCTGAAGAGCACTTTGAACAACCATCCCGGAAAAAAAGATCCGCCCAAGGGTAAGTAGTAAAATATTATAAATGTAATTATTGTAAATAATTAATGACCACAACGGATATATGATATTACTATTAATAATTAATGCTAATACTATGAATATTTGTTCAACAAAATGTCATTTCTTCAATTCTTTGTCAGTCAATATTTCGTAAACAAACTGTAAATTTTTTAACCCTTTTGAATGTCAAGAATGTTGATACATGTTGCACAATTTTATTTACTTTCCTATCATTTCTTAATTTTGGACAAAATTGACATAATTTTCCAATATCTTCAGGTCTTGATCAGAATTATTGGAAAAATAAGGAAAGAAAATATTGTGTGACAAATGTTTGCCAGTTTCGCAAAAATGTTTAGCAGTGAATATTACATTTAGATCTTTATGACAGCGAGTCACAGTGACTTAATTTCAAAAAATGTTATCCCGACTAACGTCTATGCGTGATAAAAAATAGTTTTCAGTATTTGGTGCGAAACATTAATTTGACTGAAAAATTGGAATTAGACAAAAAAAAAAGAAAAAGGTGATTGAGTTTGTTGGGGCTCAGACAAATAGGTGTGAATTATAATATGGTGTTTTTATAATATGATTGAATATTCACTCATCTGTATCTGATGTCAGTTGTACGCTTGTAATTACGCCAATCGGAGACTGACACATTGCTGACTCTCTATGAATGTTGCCTAGCAACTTACATGTCTTCTGCAGCCATGTGTATTGTATGTATTATTTACGTATTTAATACACCTTGATTTTATCACTAGATATTAGTTCAGGTTCACACTTGCAGAGAAACCAATTAAAAGTTGTTGATAAAAAAAAAGGGTGGAGTTGTTTGTTGGTTGGTGAGAATCAGACACTGGAAATTTAAATATCGCCCTCATGTGTCAGTGGATGACAATTCTTTTGTTTTTATGTAGCCCAACTACGCACTAGGGTTACCGGGTACATGCTAAAAGGATGTAGGATAGAGATACTATAAAATTGTAGTTTTGACTGATTTTGGACAAAATACTTTACAACTGGGAATTTAAGGACACATTTCATAATTCTCTTCAAAAATAATTCCTCAGTTACAGACTCCTTAATCCACCAAAGCGTAATAATGAAATATATGTGAATATCAAGTGTTTACTCCAGTATGGTAATTTTTCATGTTCAACATTGGTCCTGCATGAAATACATACATACAACACGTATAAAAATATTTTATGTTTACACAGAATTCAAATTCCTGATATACATCATCTGCAGTGTTTTAACTGGTGCTTGTATGTACAGTCAGGATTTCATTAATCAATAACAACTCAAATTCTGCAAACTATGCTACCATACCTGGATTCTAGTAGCCATGTGTCATTCAATCTTGCATTGAGACTATGGTTTATAAACACCAGATGCCTCTGCCCTCTCTCCCCAAGCCGCTAACAGTGCAGTTTTGGTGCATACCATTCTCTGAATTCTCTAGTTATCTTATGCAATTGCTGTATTTTTTTTTATTTGTTACCTTCCCTCTACCTCACACAAGGAACGGAGATGACGATAAATGTGCCACGCCCATTACCAGGAAGTAAGTGTGAGTTCATGTATACTGTAATGTGCATTGGCGGTACAGTCTTGTATTGTAGGTCCCACTTAATTAATATGGTTCATCATTTAATAATTAATAATTAATAATCGGTTAATGTAAAATATAAAAAAAATTGATGTTTGCATGGCTTTCGTTTCTCATTATTGATACAAATAACTGTATAATTTGCATGTCTTGGTCGCATGTTTCTAATCTAAACTGCCCATGTCTACATCTGCATGACTGTTAATATATAATTTGTTGCTAACATTAAATTTTAACCTAACTGCATTTATTGTCGCAGGAAAACTAGAAAATGACTCGCATATCTAATTATTACAGAATTTCAATAAAACTAATTTTAATAACCATATAATTTAAATAACTGATGCTTTTAATGTCTGTTGTCAGTTGTACCGGTATTTGTCATGATTTTATCATCAACTGTATTAATCTAGGCTGCTCTGACTAGCTAATGCATGGGCTCTGATGATGTCATGTCCAATAAATTGTAACTTGTGTTACACAAGAACCTCTTTTTAACATTGCTATTAAATTAACTTTAAAAACTTATGATTTTATTTTAATCATTATATGTTTATTTTCTGCAAAGTTATGTAATTAATATCATTTTATTGTTTTTTTTTATTAATTTCTGCACTACATTTTGTTTTGATGTATGTTTGTTGTTTATTGTTTGTTGTGTTTGTTAAAACTGTATACTGTAAGTTTAATTTTGCGTAATTTTTTTTTTTCAAATTTATTAAGTCATGTAAGTTGTCAAATTCTGTAGCAGGGAAAATTTCTATGGGAACCTATAACACAGAGCGTCAGCAACTGTCCCAAAATTTTGTTTTTATGAATACTATAAAATCATGAAATTTCTAGCTACGAAAATTAAGCAGTTTACAGTACTGCAATGTACATGTTGTATCAATTCACTATGCTACATTGTACATTCTGTTGTTCCCATATAAGGTATTCTGCTAAATCTGGATTGTGGTTTATCGCCTTAATTCATGGATAAAAAAAAACCATAATTCTGATCTAGATCATTTGTACATCATCCTAATAGAAATATTGATACAATATGTGCTTGCAAGTTTATATATAAATGATCTAACAGATATTATATTAAAATCATCTGTCCAATTACTGATGTTGGATATTAGACTATTTTCTGTTCACTGTTCATCTGCCGTTATGTGTGAAATCGACATAAGACAGAACAAAACAAAGATCATAATGTTGTAGTGATGTCATTGTGTGGGATTCAACAAACGCAAAATATCTTT